GACGAAACAGAACATTTTCCTCACTTAATCTGGGCTCACCCAACCTTAATTCTATTATTCTATATTAAGTTTATCAAGAAAAGAAACGGGTTTACAGCTAAATTAGTATGTTACTTTGCTCAGATCATAACCCAATCTTAAAAATGTGTTTTATTCAGCCTTAGGGCTTGTCAGTGGCATTATATAAGCCAACAACCACGGACTGACATTATTCTCCCTTTGTTCTCAAATGAAGATTTCTCACTGATTTTGTTTTTTCAAGGGGAAGGAAGCTCATGTGTAATTTTTGGTGGTGAGACCTTACAGCTCTCATTAATTTAACATCTTCTGTTAAACTGGAATGTGGCTTAGTTTGCTGAAATATTTGCATATTCCAGAAGCTCAAAAATTTATTGTTTGCTGTGCACATACATTCAATGTACCTCAAATAGCAGTGGACCAAGCTCACACAATTAACACAGCAGTTAATTACAGTATTGCAGTGGCACCTTTGCAGACCTCCAAAAGGAGCCCATTTTTTGTGGTTTGTGTAGATGTTGAAACAAAACACAATTTCTGATGAGCATCACTCTTGCTCCCAAAGATAAGTAATGAAACCCAGCCATAAACTCTCTCAAAGAAATTCTGCTAAGTGAGTGCAAGCAAATTTGATATCAAGCTAAGCCTCTTATTTGGTTATAATCACTGTGTGGATGCATATTCCAGCCACACAGGGCACATGCAAGTTGCTCATTCAAACATCATTTCTGGTTAATGACAGAACATCTCATGCATAAGACATAAAAGTTTGTTTGGTCTTTACATTCCACCTTGTGCAAAGTCTCAAATAGTTCAGCATGCACAATATATTAAAGAAAAAAAATAATTTAGGAACCTACAACCTTAACAAACGTGAACCAGTAACTAATCATTACTGTTCCACTGTAATCTCTGCTGTCCACAATGTCACTTCCTGAACACGGAAAATGAAAAAATAAGGTATAGAATTATATATATTTTAATATATAATTAATTATATTTAATTATACATATATATAATTAATACACATATTTACTATGTGCTACTCCTACAAAATCCTGCACACAGTGAAGCTATTTAAACTGTCATTGGAACTGACACACTGATCAAAGCACCTGTAAAGCAACCATATTTTGAAGTGGAGCTGTGTTTTTTCCTTCTGCCTTACTGGAGCTCTGGTGACTAATCTGTAAAACTATTCATGTATTTCTCCATCATTTACTCTTTTCAACAACTTACTCTCTTTACTTAATGCAACAGGTTAATCTTCACAAAATGTACTGATGAAAATAATTAAAAACTGTTTCAAAATTCGCAAATTTGGTGTTTAACAAAAATATGCAAATCTATAAATCAGTTTTATAAAACTACTTTTTAGTTCACAAGTGTAGTTCTTTGGGATTTTTTATTTTCCTCATGCATTTTATGTTTTCTGGATGACAGATTTTACCAGCAATGGTTCAACCCATGAAGGGTGCATATTGGAGCTAGCATCCATAAATGCATTTATACTCCTGTACATATAAGATCCATATGTACGTATATGCCTATTTATACACACATGTATGCACACATTGCTATATACACAAACAACCCTTCAGAGACCCAAGTGCACTAGAGCATTTAAGCAAAGCACGAGAGGAAACAGGGTATACATGAATTGGCAGATCTGAAGATCAGCCACTGGCCTGGCAAAGAAATACTTTTTCTCTGACAGTTTGTGAACATATGCTCTTAGATGTGAGTCATATGTCAGACTACATCAAACACATATATAAAATAACACGTCATTTACAAATTACAGACATTTCACATCTAAGCATTTCTGGAACATGACTGAATCCAAACCTTTAGTACTACATGAAAGTTCATTGCAGAGACAATTTAACAGAGCAGAAGATGCCTTTCCCAGGATACCATTCCAAATTATCTTGGGTTATTTTCTAAATGGACAGAAAAATATTGCTCGTGTTTCAAATGAATTTCCTGTCAAGACCAAGAAGTGAGAAGGACAAGCAGTTAGGCTGTGGTTATTTAGTCATCTCAGATGGCTAAAGACATGGCTTTTCCCCAGCAGCTCAAGTCCCACCTGCCACTCTGGAGATGCATACCTGAGCTGGTTTTGGATGGGATAGAATTATTTTTTTTCAGAGTAACTGGTAAGGGGCTTTGTTTTGGATGTGAGCTGAAGACAGGGTTGAAAGAACGGATGTTTTAGTTAATACTGAGCACTGTTTACTAAGGACTTTTCTGCTTCTCAACCCACCCCACCAGTAAGTGGGCTGGAGGTGCACAAGAACTGGGGAGATGACACAGCTGACCCAAGGGATATTCCGTACCACACATACTCACTATTTAAGCTGGAGGAAGAAGGTTGTCCTCCCAAGTCACTGAATACCTGCCTGCCCGTGGGAAGCAACGAATGTATTCCTTATTTTGCTTTGCTTTTGTGCACAGTTTCTGCTTTCCCTGTTAAACTTTTTTATCATCTTAACCCATGAGTTTTCTCGCTTTTTCTTTTCCAATTCTCTCCTTAATCCCGGTGGTGGGGAGTGAGTGAGTGCACGCCTCAGGCTTGGCTGCTGGCTGGGGCTAAACCATGAAAACAGCAGAGCCAGTTGGGAAGATATCCTTTTCAAACACAGAGGAAACAAGAGTATTCAATTTTGACATAACTGGAGTTTCCTGTGCAGCCAAAGATCTTTCAAATGCCTCAAAGTACTTCATAACCTGGAGGCAGGACTTAGAGTTGGGGCTTCAAAGACCAAACCATACATCCCTGCCGTGCTTGATTCAGGGACATACAACCAATCACATCTAGCCCTGCTTCTCTATCTTTAACCATCCCAGTTTCTCCATTGGTAGGCCCAGCCTCCGACCCTGAATAAACATTAGTTTTTAATACAGGTGTGGGGTGGAATTGTTAATTGTAAGGAGATTTGGTATCTGAAGAGAAAGAAATTTCTACCCAGTCTATACTCTTCAGGCCCAGGAGGATGCCACATGCAGCACTGACCACCCTACCAGAGGTGACCTCTATTTTCAGTTCAACCCTGAATGGACTAAACATTCAGGTAACATTCAGACAACACAGCTGCAGAAGAAATCAGCATTTTGATGTTCATCAAAGTAATGAGTTACGAGAGTTGAGGGTTCAGAGAAAGACATTTCCTGGTATTATCCTCCTTTAATCATTGAACATTAAACAGCAGTTTATCAGAAAGCTGATTCTCAGAAAACTTTGGCTACCCACAGATAGGGAGAGAAAAAGTGTTCTTGCTATTTCTCTCAAATACTACTTTTTCTTTTCCCCTGCAGCTATTCCCCACCCACCACCCCAATACACACAAATTTTGTATTCCTCTCTGTACAGTTCTTTCTGATAGGAAATATTTGATTACATCTTCTTTCATGTTCAGAGTTTTCTTTAAATTCTACTTGGATTTTTTTTTGACTCTTTATTCTTGAAGTTGCCATTTCTGTGAACCATTAATTCAGAGGTGCATGAACAATCTTACTTGAGAGACTGTATATTATGTTACCTCTCACTTTCCTCTGTTATCTTACATGTTGTCAAATCAGACTTCAAATTATGTCACAGCTACTCTTTCTGAATGGTTAATTTTTCACTGAGAGTTACACAGATGGGCAATTATTTTAAGGCTTGAATACCTGCCAACAACTGTAGTGGCAGGAAGCTGATCTCCAAAGCCCACACAACCACAGAGAACAACAAAAAACAGAAGACAAATCTGAATGTAAACTATACAATTGTTATGGGGTGGTAAAGTTTAAATAAAAATTTTCCACAACATTAAAAAAGCTTTCAATCACTACAAGCATCTACTTCTGTATATACAAACATCCAAAACTGCACATTTTAAATCTCAAATAATAACTAGAGAGAACAAAATCAACTAATAGAATAACACTGTTTCATTTATTTGCATATTTTAAAAAAGCACAACTACTCAAGAGAGAAGTGGGGTAACCATCCTTTAAGCTTCATGTATTTATCTATAAAAATGAATAAAATTTAAGCACCACTGTAGAAAAAGAAACATTACCTAGAAAAGTGGGAAGTGAGTCACTTTCCATGTCTTCTAGCCTGACAGCAGAATGGCCAGTGACTAATAAATCCTGTTTTAACTATCTGTTATTTACCCACTGAAACTAGGACAAGAAATATAGAGTCCCTCAAATAAGCTTCTGGAAAACTGTCCCTGCATTGTGGCTGTCTCCTGCTTCTGGCATACACTGATTCTGCATCCTGACACTGCTTCTGCTGCTGTTGTCCCACTTACAGAATAGCCCAGGGCACAACTGAGATCAAAAGAAATCACCAAACTTACTTCTACATTCACCATGAACAATAACATACACATATCAGTACATAGAAGAGAGTTTATCTAAGTATACAAAGTCGTACAGCACCCAGACAAGTCTGGCACTCACCTAAAACACCTGCTGCCTTCCTTTATCTCCTCCTAAATGCCCTCCAAAATTTTTATCAATTTTCCAAAACTCTGAAACAAACCACCAGAGGCTCTGAAAAATGTACATTGAGAATTATGAGTTCTTGTTTTCAACAGGGTGAAACAAAACAGTGATAATAAGGATTTAAAAAGACAGCCACCTAAAGTAGACTTTCAACGGACAGCATTGCCACGAAGCAGCCCATGCTTCAAGGTATACAGGGAGAAATCTTTGATATCCTGAAGAGATCATTTACAGAGAGACATAAATATTTGGTTCCAAATCTATAAATAATTAAAGAAGTTAAAAACTAAATACATGAGCTAGTCTTGTCGGAAAAGAAAATTCAGAAACTGTTGCAAGCACTTCTTCAATGACATCGACTTTCTTAAGCATAGTACAGACTTCTGTCAACAGTGAACAATGGAACATGTGATGTTTCATAAGCAGACTCAGAAAAGGCTGGGTGCAGAACCACAAATTTCTAGGAGAGTGCTCATTTTACCAGGACTCTGTTCAGTACTTTAGTAGATAATACTAGCAAGTGCCATCACCATGCAATATATATCATTAGAATTAAAGGGAGAGAGAGTTCAGGCAAACAAGAAGAACAAACCCTCCTATTATTTGAGTATTTCACTGATTTTATATTTTTTTCCATTAGAGGTTTTTTCATACATGATTCTCTTTCCTTTTCTCCATTTCTTTTCTACAAATTTAGAGAATTGTCATGTTTGTAGAATGTCTGTTATAGAATTTTGAGGAAATCCTGACACTGATTTCAGGTGCATGAAATTGTGTGTTGGACACATGACCAGGCCTTGAAAGCAATCCCTCTTGGCAGGAGTATCCCACTCCCACTAACCAATTACAGTCCATGAGTAAATAAGGATTGAGAAAGTGAAGGGAACACACCAGTACATGTTAGTCGTTTATGATTAGCAAGGCCAACAATACACTTCCAGTGCTGAATTTTAAAATTTCATTTCAGTAAATTAATTATGCTGTTGAAACAGAGCTGACTTCATAAACCACATACAGTTCTGATTCCAAAGCATGCAATAATTAAAGATACAGTCAGTAGCTGCTGCCGAGATTTTCTATTTTCAGGAGGAGTGGAGTTAATTAACTTGTGGTTTTCCACAAGCATTAAAACAAGAAGCAGCCTTCTAGACTGTGGTGATTTGGCCAGAACTGGTTTACTAAAGCAGCTTATCTATTTACCATTACATGGAATACCACATGCATGCTCAATTCTTAATAGAGGGAGGACTGACTGTTCCTCTAGCTCATGGCTACTTCACCCAAAACAGTCCCCAGATCTGACTGGAGGTAGTGATAGTGTAATCCATCAGCCAAAGGGAGACTGCACATCTCACAGAACCATGTGCTCAGGGAATGCCTTTATACAGCAGATAACAAAATAAGCAGTGGTTAGCATAGAGACAGGGAGCACGAGAAAAAGCAGTGTACTACAGGGGAAATCAGGCACATGATGAACTAAAAAAATTTCATCAGGAATTAATATGAACTCTTCTATTGCTCTCATTCAAATCAATGCTCTCTGAGCAGAAAACCTACATGATTGTGCTGGCCTTGCAACTAGGTGACTGCTAATTACTACCTGGACTGAGAAAGATGCTGTTTTAATACTTGAAAGAGAACTGGGTTGGCAACCTCTGTATAATTAGTTTCCTAACAAGAGAAAGGATTTCAGATGTAGGATGCCTGTAGGAGGAGGGAGAGAGGAGAGCTCCATATTTATAAATATATTTTTGTTCATTCTTTTCACTCTGATGACCTCCCCTTTGTTTTCCTGCACTGTAAGGGACGAGTTATCATTAATGGCATAACGCATATTATTAGCACATTCATCAGTGCTGTTTTTCTTATGTCAACCTATCCTATCTTGTTGACTTTCACATTTCTATCAGAGAGACTCACTATATTTAAATACATATATAGATTGCCCCTACAGCACTCCTTTAAAAGAAAACTGCTACTACAGCTGACCAAAAAAATTATGATTAAAACAATTTTCAATGACAATATTTCTTTGAAGGAACTGTGTTTTTGCAAGTATTAACTAATTTAAAATAACACCTGGAGTGTTTTTTCTTAAATCAAAATATTTTATTTCACAGCAACATCTGTTGTAAAACATATTTACTTCATTCACTCACATGTGTTCCCCATATTCATTCATACCACCACTGACAGTAGATTTTCACTGATAGCCCAGAATGGCCAAGATACCACAGTCACTTGATTTAGTATTACAATTGAACCAAGGATGTCACTAACTACTAATACTGTCATGCCACTAATAATCCAAAAACTGACTAGAAGTCAAAATTAATTCGGTGCAGAAGAAAAAAAAGATTTCCTTAAGTTAAATTTTACATGTCATTTTATCTCCATTTTCCAGTAGGTTTTGGAAATATTTCAGTTTTGTAAACATGAGCTCAATGTTAAGTGTTTTCTCCCTCTCCTCTCCTGCTTCAGCTTCTGTTATTCACCAAACCCTCCATGTCTCGACCAGGAGCTTTTCCCATCTCACATAGGTTTGTCTACCCCTGTAGAAAACCCAAAACACTAGGCCCATAGCAACTGTTTCCCCTCTCTCTCTCTCAAGACAAGGACCTATATTAAAGAATTATCATCTGCTTCTATGGTACAGATGCACAAGGCAAGTGTGGAAGTAACTTCAGTCCTTCCTTCTTGGGATTCTCCAACACAACAGCAAAATTATTTTACCACATAGTTTCAGTGACTGATAGGATGAAGCCATGAAAGCCTGCTGGACAGCCCATTGGAGAGGGAAGGATAAGCTATGATAATATTTTATAGAAAATTTTTTATAAGCATCTCTGGTCTACTGGACATTTTGGTGTTATCCAAGACTCAGAAATCTTCTGAGGCTTCACAGTCTCTAATTCCAGGAGTTGTTACACTTCTAGCACTGAAGAAAAATGAATATTAATAAAAGAAAATACAAAAAAAGAGAAAAAAATTAAAATCCACAGAAAAAAAACTCAAATAAGAAGAAAAGTCTCATTTAATTCAGATATATTTCAGTACTGTTATTACTTCCATGCAGCCTGAAACATCTAAAATAATCACAGGACAACAAAACCTGAAAGACACGGTGGGGAACTGCTTGCTTACCAACATTTTGCTGCCCCTATTTCACCTCCATTGATGGCAAGAAGCCTTTAACCTACTGTGCTGAGATTTGACTGGAAAAAAATTTTCTGCCAAATCCCAGCATCTGTAAAATCAAAGAGAAAATTTTAGACCTGGGTTCTATATCTGTGCTGATTGTCAGTGGTCTTAGACACAGATAAGAGATAATTCTAAACTCTTTGGTCTGAAAAAGCTACCATTGGAGCATTTTTTCATATGGAGAGTTTATGAGACTTTACAGTGAGCTTTGACAAGTTTTTCCCATATAGCTTTATGCAGGCTCATCCATCACATGAAAGTTTTGAATTAACGACACTACAACATTTATAAAGGAGATAAAATCCATTTCATTTTCCATCTTTCCTGACAAAAGTTCTTTTCTAATGTCAAAGTCCCTCATTCACTGATCAGGGACTTCATTGCCATTAGCTAAGTTTCATGTAAGTGCAGACAGATCAGAGACACAGGTATCTCAACATTAACCATTAACATTAACTTACTGTCTGAAGTTCCCACCAATGCAAATTCCTTCTTCAGGCCAGTTAGCACCAAAAAAAAGAAGTCATACTCACCGGCAATAATGAATAAAAGAGCAGTTCCATAAAGACACTGGAAAGCTAAAGTGCATATATTAAAAGAACAGCATTTCTTTTCATATCTAGGAACATAATACTTCTTACACTGTCTAAAAGGGGAGGGTTTAGGCTACTTGTGTTCTATATGAAAAATATTCCATGAAAATGTGATCCTGTAAGCTAAAATTCTAATTTATATGGCACAAGGCTTTAAATGCCTGTCTACATTTAAAGCCATGTTCATTTAATAGCCAGTCAGCCCACTCCACCTTTAGCTATCTCTAGAGAGCAAAATGGATTCCCATTAGTAATTCTCAGTCTGGGAGAAAGCTCTGACCTGTGCACACAGTTTATCAAGGTATTCCTTCTCTGCAGCAGCTACAGATGGGGGCAATCCTCAAGAGACTTGCCCCTGCTGTTTTCTTCTGATGAAGCAACCTTTTGGATCTCCTCTGGTTTTTATTAACCAAAACACAGCTCTCATCAATAATCACAGGAAAGAGACATCTAACCTTCCTTTTAGTGTTTGAGTTTTTTCCCCCAAACACAAGGCTAGATATGAGGATTGAATCCATTAAGGTTTAATGGTGAAAATGGCAACACTGTGTATTCTGTCCTTGTAAAAGTTAGTGAAATACAAGAAAAAAGAGCTGAGAAAATTCTTGGCATCAGTGGAAGAGTAGTCTCTTTACACAGAGGCCTTCCACAATCTTTAAAATATAATCTTAAGCATGAAGATGAATACAGCCCATGAATAATACACATATTCCACATCACCACCTTCACCACTTACTCACATGAAGGTGAAAGTTTCATACACAGTTCTGATCCAGAGTCAGCCCAACATAACATTGATGTTGATGGTGCCACTCTGATTATGTTTTTATTATGTAAATTAAGGGGGCAAATTATGCCTTAAAGAATACTAGATATGATGCTATTTCTCTAATACCTATGGTTTCTTTGTGGCATGTTTTTGCTTCCTTTTTTATCTCCTTAAAAGCACAGCAAACATTCCTTCTCATAGGGTAGAATCTGGAAAGGTTTCCTTTTTATAGAGATAGAACTGTGTCCTATAAATATTGTTTCTACTACATCTACATGATCTAAGATAATGCCTGTAATAGAAAAAACAATGAAAAATAATGAATGAGCTCATTTGAAATACAGGAGGCTTTGTCTTACTGGTAATAGCCAGAAGATGCCATAAAATAAAATAATCTCTTAAAAATGCCAGTCCACAAAAGTAGTCAATAGACATAATGATAAGCACTTGCTAATCAATAGTGATAAGTCAGTGTGACTTAGCTGACAGATATTTCTTCAACAACAGTTTTTCTAATAACTCACTAGCATAAACATATCAGGCCAATGATTTAATAAGAAATCCCTTCTGTAGATCACAGGGCAGCAGGATGAAGACAGTACCATACCAATCCCTTACCAATCACCCCAATCTGCTCTAAAGTTTGCAGAACAAGGCTTCCCCAGGGACACTGCTGACTACCAAAGCCTTATTTTTACACCAGGGGGAAGGACATAAGGAGTTATCAACACTCCTTGTCAAAAGCTACTGAAAGCTGCAGCACTCAGACATGCTTTCAGAGAATGCAGAAAAACACCAGCTACTGGGTAAAAGGAACTTCTGAGTAACCACAGTTTTGATGTCTCTAACAAAGAGATAAACAATAAATAAGGAAAACTTATCTCATAGACATTTGCTTCAATTGAATTGAACTGAAATGGCACAC